TACACAGAAAAACAGAATATTATAACACTGTAACTGTGATGTGTACTCTTACCCTAAGTAGGAAGACTAAATGATGAACCAATCAAAAATAATAACTACAACTTTTCAAGACAAAGTAAGTACAATAAGATATAAATAGAAACAATAAAAGATTAAAAAGAGGGTGGACTAAATTAAGGTATTCTTAACCTTAGAGTTAAGAATAGATTTCTTATTAGTTTTCTTTCCCTTTGTTTATGTGAATAGTGTTATCAGGTTATAACAATGAGTTATAAGATAGTATTTTTAAGCCTCATGTTAATATCAAACCAAAAAGTGTACAATGGATACACAAAAAGTAAAAACAAGATACTAAATTGTATCACCAGAGAAAATCACCTTCACTAGTGGAAGGCAGAAAGATAAGACCATAAAACAAACAGATAACAAATTTTAAAATGATAGAAGTAGGTCCTTACTGATAAATAATAACACTGGATGTAAATGGGCTAAACTCTCCAATCAAAAGACATAGACTGGTTGAATAGACAAAAACAAAAAAGGTCCATTGATATGTTGCCTAGAAGAAACACATATCACCTATAAAGACACACACAGACTGAAAATAAAGGGATGGAAAAAGATATTCCATGCCAATGGAAACCAAAAAAGAGCAGGAGTTACTATACTTAGATCAAATTAAATAGATTTCAAGGCAAAAACTACAGAAAGAGACAAAAAAGGGCTACCATATACTGATAAACTGGTAAGTTCAGCAAAAGGATGTAACAATTATAAATATATATGCACCCAACACTTGAGCACCCAGATATATAAAGCAAATACTGTTAGAGCTAAACAGATAGATAGGTCCCAATACAATAATAGCTGGACTTCAACACCCCGCTTTCAGCACTGGATGAATCTTCCAGATAGAAAATCCACAAAGACATATCAGGCTTAATCTGCAGTATAGACCAAATGTGTATATCTAATAGATATACACAAAACACTTTATCCAACAGCAGAAGAATATACATTCTTCTCCTCAGCATAAGGAACATTCTCAAGGATAGACCATATGTAATGTCATAAAGCAAGTATAAAAATATTCAAAAACATTGAATTAATATCAAGCATCTTCTGTGAACACATTGGAATAAAACTAGAAATTGTTTACAAGAGGAATTCTGGAAAATACACAAATAAATGGAAATTAAACAATATTCTCTTGAATGACCAGTGGGTCAATGAAGAATTTAACAAGTAAATTGAAAAATTTCTTGAAGCAAATGATAACAAAAATACATTATACCAAAACCTGTGGGATACAGCAAAAGCAGTACTAAGAGGGAAGTTTATGACTATAAGTGTCTACATCAGAAAAGAGGAAAAACTTCAAATGAACAATCTAATGACGCATCTTAAAGAACTAGAAAAGCAAGAGCAAACCAAACCCAAAATTAGTGGAAGAAAAGAAATAATAAAATCAGAGAAGGAATAAATGAAATTGAAATGAAAAAAAAAATACAAAACACAAATGAAAAAAATAGTAGTTTTTTGAAGCTAAACAAAGTTGAAAAACTGCTTGCCAGGCTAACAAAAAAGAGAGAAGATTCAAATAAATAAAATTGGAAATGAAAAAGGAGAGACACTGTGACTAATTCTGCAGAAACTTAAATGATCATTAGTGGCAACTATGAGCAAGTATATGCCAATAAAATGGAATATCTAGAAGAAATAGACAAATTCATAGATACATACAACATAGCAAAATTGGACTGGGAACAAATCCAGAACCTGAACAAACCAATAACAAGTAACCAGATTTAAGCCATATAAAAATCTCCCAGTATAGAAAAGGCAGGACCTGATTGTTTCACTGATGAATTCCCCCAAACATTTAAAGAATTAATATCAATTCTACTCAAACTATTCCAAAAAACAGAGGAGGAGGGAGTACTTTCAAAGTCATTCTACAAGACCAGTAATACCCTGATACCAAAACAAGATGAAGACACATCAAAGAAAAAGAAAACTACAGGCAAATATCTCTGATGAATATTGATGCAAAAATCCTCAATAAAACACCAGCAAACCAAATTTAACAATACATTAGAAAGACCATTCATCATAACCAAGTGGGATTTATCTCAAGGATGCAAGTATGGTTCAACATATGCAAATCAAAATATGTACTAGATCATAACAGCAGAATAAAGGAAAAAAAACACATGAACATTTCAATTGATGCCAAAAAAGCATTTGATAAAATTCAACATCCCTTTGTGATAAGCAACCTCAAAAAACTGCAGAAAGAAAGAACATACATACCACAACATAATAAAAGCCATATATGACACTGACAAGTAGTAACATACTGAATGGGGAAATGCTGAATGTCTTTTTTCTAAGACCTGGAATACAATAAGGATGTCCATTGTCACCACTGTTATTCAACATAGTCCTGGAAGTCTTGGCTAGAGCAATCAAACAATAGAAAGATATAAAGGGCATGCAAATTGGAAGGCAGCTATGCTCACCACTATAACACCAACATATCTAGGGCATCCAAATTGGAGAGGAAGAGGTAAAATTATACTTGTTTGCAGATAATATGATCTTATATTTGGAAAAACCTAGAGACTCCACAAGAAAACTATTAAAACTGATAAATTAAGTAAAGTTTCAGGATGCAAAGTCAACATGCAAAAATCAGTGGCATTTCTACACGCCAACAGTGAACAATGTGAGAATAAAAGTAATCCCATTTAGAATAACCACACAGAAAATTAAATACCTAGGAATTAACCAAAGAAGTGAAAGATCTCTATAGTGAAAATTATAAAATACTGATGAAAGAAATTGAAGATAACAGCAAAAAATGTTTAAAAACAGTTTTTAGCATTGGAAGAATCAATATTTTTAAAATATCCGTGCTACTCAAAGCAATGTACAGATTCAATGCAATCCCTATCAAAATACTGATGACATTCTTCACAGAAGTAGAAAAGAAAGCTATCCTAAAATTTATATGAAATCACAATAGACCCAGAATAGCCAAATATATCCTAAACAAAAAGAACAAAACTGGAAAAATCACATTACCTAATTTCAAATTATATTGCATTGCTATAGTAATCAAAATGGCATGGTACTGAAATAAAAACAGATACATAGACCAATGGAACAGAATAGAGAACCCAGAAACAAATTCACACACCTACAGTGAACTCATTTTTAACAAAGGTGTCAAGAACATACACTGGGGAAAACAGAGTCTTTTCAATAAATGATGTTGGGAAAGCTGGATATCCATATGCAGAAGAATGAAAGCAGATCCCTATCTCTCATCATAGACAAAAATCAAAATGAATTACAGATTTAAACCTAAGACTAAGACCTCAGATTATGAAACTGCTACAAGAAAACATTGGGGGGAATCTCCAGGATATTGGCCTGGGCAAAAACTTCTTCAGCAATACCTTGCAAGTACAGGCAACTAAAGCAAAAATGGACAAATGGGGTCACATCTAGTTATAAAGCTTCTGCACAACAAAGGATACAGTCAGCAAAGTGAAGAGACAACCTGCAGAATGGGAGAAAATATTTGCAAACTACCCCATCTGACAAGGGATTAATGGCCAGAATATATAAGGAGCTCAAACAACTCTATGGGAAAAATCTAATAATCTGATTTTAAAAAAATGGGCCAAAGATTTAAATACAGATTTCTCAAAAGAAGACATACAAATGGTAAGCAGGCATATGAAAAGGTGCTCAACATCATTGGTCACCAGAGAAACATAAATCAAAACTTCAATTATGTATCATCTCACCCCAGTTAAAATGGCTTATGCCCAAAAGACCGTGAAATGGTTACACTTTGTGTCCCCGCCCAAATCTCATCTTGAATTAGCACCTTTATCCCCATGTGTGAAAAGAGAAACCAGGTAGAGGTAATTGGATCATGGTAAGGTTTCCCCATGCTGTTCTCGTGATAGTAAGTGAGTTCTCATGAAATCTGATGGTTTTATAAGGGACTCTTCCCCCTTCACTACTCACTCTTCTCTCTCCTGCCACCATGTGAAGAAGGTCCTTTCCTCTCCTTTGCTTTCCCCATGATTGTGAGTTTCCTGAGGCCTCACCAGCCCTGCAGCACTGTGAGTCCATTAAACTTCCTTTTTAAATAAATTACCCAGTCTTGGGTATGTATTTATAGCAGTGTGAAAACAAACTAATACAGACAAACAATAACAAATGCTAGCAAGGATGTGGAGAAAAGGGAACCCTTGCACATCATTGATGGGAATGTAAATTAGTACAACCACTCTGGAGAAGAGTTTGGAGGTTCCTCAAAAAGCTAAAAATTGAGCTACTATATGGTACAGCAATCCCACTCCTGGGTATATACCCAAAAGAAAGGAAACCAGTATATCAAAGAGATAGCTGCACTCTTCTATTTCTTGCAGCACTGTTTACAATAGCTAAGATTTGAAAACAACTACATATTCATCAACAAATGAATTAATAAAGAAAATGCAGTTCATGTACACAATAAAGTACTATTCAGCCATGAAAAGAATTAGATCTAGCCAGCTGCAATGACATGGACAGATCATTATGTTAAGTAAAATAAGCTAGGCACAGAAAGACAAACATTGCATCCCACTTATTTGTGGGATCTAAAATTAGAAAAATTAAACTTATGGACAGAGAGAGTAGAAGAATTGTTGCCAGAGGTTTAAAAGAGTAACGGTGGACTGGAGGGAAGGTGGGGAAGGTTAATGGGTACCAAAAAATTTACAGAGAATAATATATGTAGTCTTCCACATGTTAAAAACAATCTTGTACAAATGTTTTAATTACACTTTTGACTTATTAGGCAATAATTATTAATTTTTTAGTTTATTTGTAGTGTGATAACATTGATAAGTAAGCAGAAGTAGAAAGGAAAAACTTCTGACACATTTATGGAAAAAATTAAATTAAGAAAATTCTACCTAATGATATGTTTTCTTTCAAATAATCATACAAAAATAAAATTTCAATCCTATAGTCAAAACAGTTGACCTATCATTGTCTAATTCCAGGTTTTCTCAGAAAATAGTTTGAGGCCCACTGTTTTTAGGAAAATCACAAAAAGTGTTATATGAACACATGGTGTTAACAACTCTTCAGCAGATTTAAGTGAGAATTAATGGTTAGTCACACCATCCTTGCCTTCAAATTGAATGCGTGCTGTTCTTATCACTGGTTTCAAAATAAGAAGAAAAGCAGGTATCTTAAGCCAATCTTTTCCCACAATGAAATATGAAAGTTCTCTTTAACATGTTAAATTTGTGGTTAATCTATTTGCAATGTCTGCTATCCCACTGCTTTTGTCAGTTTTGCTGATTTGCCTAGTTACATGTTTAATTGAAAAAGATCATTTTCTCAAACTGCAGAAATTGTATTGTCAAAAATATATCACCTAGGAATAATGTCTTTCTAATATATGTACTTACTTCAGTTAGGTTTTTAAAAAATTTACTCTTGCTCGCCTATAAATTATTTCAAGTAATGTGTTATTCAAATAATAAAGTACAAGTGCACCTGTTTTAGTGAATAAAACACGACTGATCATAGATCTATTCATATTCATGTACACTTAGTAAGGTTACAGAGTAGTATATATCAGTTTTATTTCTAAACAGTTCCTAGCAAACTATTAAGAGGCAAGGTTCATACAAGTATGCTCGTTGTTATACTTTATTTATACCTTTGCTATCTTGTATTATTATTTGTTTGTTTATTTTGTTTTAATTTGCCTAATTATTTTAATTGTACTTATGTCTTTGAATTTACTATATGCTCATTTTATTAACATTTGAAAATCTTTTTTTTTGTAGATTTTATGAAGGATTTCAAAAATTTGAAATGGAGACTGTATAGAAATCTGAGGGCCTATTTTGTACCTCTGTTCCTTATCCCAAACTCTTCCCAATACAAATACCTACCTTACTAAAGAAGAGATCTTAATAGGGGAGAAGAGGAAGCATTGAGAGATATAACAGATAAGTTGGCACAGGGTGTCAGATCTGGCCAAAGGAAAGAGCTAAAGCAACAATATTATGTATTTACATATTAGAAAGTATACTATTTCTTACTAAAGACCATGTAACTATTTTTCTAATTATTTAAAAACCTTAAGAATCTAAATAGAACCTGCAAATTTGCATATACTTAACATTTCATGTGTTTAGTAAATACCAACCATGGTTTAGTTTATCTGTTTTTCAGCTCACATTAATATTATGTCAGAGTCAGCTTTACTTACACACACACACACGCACACACACACATATAAATGAATAAATAAAAATGAAAAGGTAACTATTACTTCTTGTATTAATTACTAATTATTTCTGGCTGCACATAGATCTTAAAACAGTGGCCTATGTAAATTAGGTTTTCCCTTTTTTCTCATGTGAAAAATAGTACAGAGAGGCAATCCAGGGCAAGTATAATTGATGTGCACTGTCACTATAGTCCCCAGACTCCCTATTTTTTAACTCTGCCATCCGTAGAACTTGGTTTCCATTCTCAAAATGCCTTATGAGTTACAGGATAGACACAGCAGCACCAGCAATCATATCTGCATTGAGGGAACAAAGAAGGAAGATAAGGGGCTGAAATGGAGGCTGGGGAATAACATTTTAGTTAAGTACTTTGCTGCTGCTCTGAACAATATATAAATTTTGTTAATTAAGATACGGAGTAAATGGATTTTGAGTGGGCAACTAGCAGTCTCTGTCACATCTTTCCTTCATATACCTCTAAAAATTTTGTAGTTTTCAAATATTTTTAGCCATAAAACTTTCTTCATAAAAATTTTATTATGTGAAACCAACTATACATAACAGTCAAAAGGTGGAGCTTCTGTGGTTGGAGTAAACTAAAGGATATGAAGTCCCTTTATTCAGTGCCTCTCTCTTGCCTGCATGATGACACCTTTGTCTCTAGGGACCCTCTGAACACAGTGCTCAAACTACCAGTCCTTAAACTCCACATACAGAATATCCATGTTCTCCTGGATATTTCTGGTTCTCTCTGCTGCCCTATGAGAGTTGGGTTATATACAATCCTGGTTGGTGATAGAGATTTGGTTGAGGTGATGCTAGAATTTCTCACAAGAGCAAGTCAGTACAGTAACAAACTCAATCCGTATGCTGATTCAGCTAGTTGAAATCATGGTTGTGCATATACTTTTAAATACAGATTAAACCAGTGATATGGTTAGGCTTGGTATCCCCACCCACACAAATCTCATCTGAATTATAAGCCCCATAATCCCCATGTGTCAAGGGAGAGACCAGGTGAAGGTAATTAAATCCTGGGGATGGTTTCTCCCGTGCTGTTCTCATAATAGTGAGTTCTCATGAGATCTGTTGGTTTTATAAGGAGCTCTTCTCCCTAGGCTTAGCACTTCTCCTTCCTGCTTCCTTGTGAAGAAGGTGCCTTGCTTCCCCTTCTCCTTCCACCATGGGTGTAAGTTTCCTGAGGCCTCCACAGCCATGCTGAACTGTGAGTCTATGAAACCTCTTTCCTTTATAAATTACCCAGTCTCAGATAGTCCTTTTTAGCAGTATGAAAACAGATTAATACAGTAAATTGCTATCACAGAGAGTGGGATGCTGCTGTAATGATACCCCAAAATGTGGAAGTGACCTTGGAACTGTTTAACAGGCAGAGGTTGGAACTGTTGGGAAGGGTCAGAAGTAGACAGGAAGATGTGGGAAAGTTTGGAACTTTCTGGAGACTTGTTGAATGGCTTTGACCAAAATGCTGATAGTGATATGAACAATGAAGTCCAGGCTGAGGTGGTCTCAGATGAGATGAGGAACTTGTTGGGAACTGGAATAAGCGTGACTCTTGCTATGCTTTAGAAAAGAGACTGGTGATATTTTGCTGTTGCCCTAGAGATCTATGGAACATTGACCTTGAAAGGAATGATTTAGGGTATCTGGCAAAAAAAAATTTCTAAGCAGTAATGCGTTCAAGAGGTAATATGGGTGCTCTTAAAAGTGTTCAGTCTTACACATTCACAAAGAGATGGTTTGGAATTGAAACTTATGTTTAAATGGGAAGCAGAGCATAAAAGTTCAGAAAATTTGCAGCCTTACAATGTGATACAAAAGAAAAACCCATTTTCTGAGGAGAAATTCAAACCTGCTTCAGAAATTTGCATAAGTAATGAGGGACCAAATATTAATCACCAAGACAATGAAGAAAATGTCTCTAGCTCATGTCAGAGGTCTTCATGGCAGACCCTCTCATCACAGGCCTTGAGGCCCAGGGGGGAAAAAATGATTTCTTGGGCTGGGCCCAGGGCCTTGCTGCTTGTACAATCTTGAAACTTGGTGCTCTGCACTCCAACTATGGCTAAAAGGGGCCAACATACAGCTCAGGCCGTTGCTTCAGAGGGTGCAAACCCCAAGCCTTGGCAGCTTACCTGTGGTGCTGGGTCTGTGGGTGCACAGAAGTCAGGAACTAAGGTTTGGGAACCTCCACCTAGATTTCAGAGGATGTATGGAAATGACTGGATGTTCAGGCAGAAGTTTGCTGCAGGGCTGGAGCCTTCATGAAGAACCTCTGCTGGGACAGTATGTAAGGGAAATGTGGGGTCAAAGCCCCCACGCAGAATCGCCACTTGGGCACTGCTAAGTGGAGCTATGAGAAGAGGGCCACTGCTCTCTAGACCCCAGAATGGTGTATCCACCAACCACTTGCACCATGCACCTGGAAAAGCTGCAGACACTCAAGGCCAGCCCATGAAAGCAGCCACAAGGTGGGATGTACCCTGCAAAGCCACAGGGGTGAAGTTGCCCAAGACCATGGGAACCCACCTCTTGGATCAATGTGACCTGGATGTGAGATATGGAGTCAAAGGAGATTGTTTTAGAGCTCTTATATTTAACTGCCTCCCTGGGTTTTGGATTTACATGGGACCTATAACTCCTTTGTTTTGGCCAATCTCTCTCATTTGGAGTGGATGTACTTACCCAATCCTTGTACCTCCATTGTACCTAGGAAGTAACTTTCTTGCTTTTGATCATACAGGCTCATAGGCGAAAGGGACTTGCCTTGTCTCAGATGAGACTTTGGACTTGGAGTTTTGGGTGAATGCTGGAATGAATTAAGACTTTAGGGAACTGTTGGGAAGGCATGATTGGTTTTGAAATGTGAAAAGGAAATAAGATTTGGAAGCAGCCAGGTGCAGAATAATGCAGTTAGGCTTTGTGTCACCACATATAATCTTGGATTATAATCCCCATAATCCCTACATGTCAAGGGAGAGACCAAGTAGAGGTAGTTGAATCACAGGGACAATTCCCCCATGTTGTTCCCATGATAATGAGTGAATTCTCATGAGATCTGATGGTTTTATAAGGGACTCTTCTCCTTTTGCTTGGCACTTCTCCTTCCTGCCTCGTTGTGAAGAGGTGCTTTGCTTCCCCTTTACTTTCCACCATGATTGTAAGTTTCCTGAGGCCTCCCTAGCCATGCTGAACTGAGTCTATTAAACCTCTTTTCTTTTTAAATTACTCAGTCTTGGGCAGTTCTTTTTAGCAGTATGAAAACTGACTAATACAACTGGAATCCAAAAGCAGGCACATATACCCTTGAATAGGGATAAAAATAGTCATCAAAAGAATTATACAGCACTTGAAAAAGGGGGGTGCAAAGAAAATGTATCCCAGAGATAATATGGCTACTGTCACAGGAATATCCAGGTGCAAAGTGTGCTTAGTTTACAATTTTTTTGTTTCTCTTTACATCTGGTTAAACAGACACATGTTTATTTGTATTGTGTTTGGGAAAAGAATCAAAACCATTCCAATATTTCTGTTTGGGATTTTTTCCCCAAAAAACATTCTCTGAAGCTTTATTGTTGGATTGGCAATATGCATTAAATAAAATTCATTTGAAACAGTACCTTTGCATCATTCTGGTGGTGTTTATCAAACAAGTTAATACTATTTTTTATTGTTAACATAATTTTGATTGAAATGTGACCTTTTATTTTTGCTTTATAAGATTGCAGTGAAAGGCAGCACAGCATAGTGTATGAGAACATGGCTTTTGGAGATTGTCAGACATAAATTTAAAAGGCTGAATCTTCCACTACCAACTGTGTGTGACCCGGGCAAGTTAAACAATAATTTCTGTCAGTTTTATTTGTAACATAGAGATGAATCTAATCTCAAAATAGAATCATATTAATAAGATGACATTGACAGAAAACAGCTCTTGATAGATTTAAATTAGTAAGTGAATGTAGTGTTCAGCAGAGTGCATGGCAATAGTGGATAATCAACAGAGTATTATTCTTTCTGCTATTACTCCTATCTTTCTCATATATGTCATTAAACATTAAGCCTCTGTTGGTATCAGACTTTTTATTAAGATTAAAATTTCATCTCAACTCTAATCACTCTCAAGAAATAACTTTTTTTAATGTAAGGGCTTTAGTTTGGATCTTACCATATTTTATGAAAATTTAGTATCTGATATTTTGCCTTCTCTGTTCCAGGAATATGGTTGTGATTCAGCCAGTGGAGGCACACCTGTATCATGTTATTACTGCTGGCAACCAATCTCATTACCTCTGTATAAAATCTGATAGATTACTTCTTCTACGACAGTTGTTGGTTAATATTTGGAATCATACTCTCATTCAGAAATATTACTTTAGAATTTCTGATTAGGACTAAAAACAAAAATGGGTAATATACTGTTTTGGATGAATTCCTAAGAAAATAAGCAGCTTTAAAAATGTAAACAAATCCAGAATAATCTTGGGGAAATGTGATATCTATTAGGCAGGGCCAGAGACTATTCCTACCATTTATTTGACCTCCTACTATATTTTAGGTACTAACCTGTACTAGATGCTTTTAAGTACATGCCAATTTATCTTCAGAACTATCCATAGAAGTTAGTATTATTTACTCTATTTTCCAGGCAAGAAAGGTGACTTGCAGGTAAGTATTTGACTAAATTCACCTGACTAATAAACATTGAAGATAGAATTTAAATTCCTACTCTATCTGATTAAAAACTATTTTCTTAACTACAACAGAATATTGATATTTTTTAAAAGATGAGGTGGGGAGAAATTTGGAGTAGATCTGATAAGAAAATGGTGAAATTGTTTTCTCATTCTGAAGATGTGGATTAATTATCTTATGAAAATCCAGTGAATATTCTGCTTTCTCACACTTTGACCCTTGGCTCTACCTCCACAGACCTTCTTCAAGTGAGCTTGGTAATCCTCCTAAATAATAACGTAGAAATTTTTTTTTACATTTAGATGGACATGGACTTATAAG